GCTGCTGAAGCCCAAGTCCAGCACATGGAGGATGTCGAGGCACAAGGTGTAGATGGACACACCAGGGGCTTTGAAAATAGGGTGTGCTGGGTTTCTCTGCCTGAGACTTCTTGAAGTTCTCCACATGGCATTGCTGACAAAATCATTCCAAGGCTTGTCCTTTGGATCCCTGTTGGCACCACAAAGGTAGCAAGGGGTGTTGCTGCCCTGGTGCCTCATGCCCAAGCCATTTTGGAAAAATTCCATGTCACCCATGAAGCCAAACCTTCCCAACACGTGGAAAAAGTGGGTGGGGGGGCTGGAGTTCATATCCAAAAGGATCTGTGTCAGGCCATTTGTTCTCCAGAAGGGCTTTCAAGCTCCATGCCACCCATGAATACAATGTGTGTTCTGTACCATTTTCCCCATGGGCAGTGCAGCTCTTGGGGTAGGAAAAGATCCACAAATGCTCTTCCATGCCGGGCTCAGAGCTCAGCAGGCCCCTGAAACTCACAGTCATCAGGCTGTCAGTGGACTGAAACTCTGCTGCATCTGCATGCAGTAGCAAAGGAATGCACCTTCTCTTCCAGTTGTGTTTCTTCAGCATGGGGTGGCCCTTCAGCCTTTTGTCTTCCATGGGCATTGCTTCCCAAAAGTTCTCCAGGTTGCTGGTGCCAAAGATGCTTTCGAAAACAAGAATTGATGCAGAGCTTGAGGACAGGTGGTGCATCCACATGCATGGCAGCTTCACAGGAACTTCCCCCTGATCATGGTGCAGCCCCACAGCCTTGGGGTCCAACCTAGGGCACTTGAGTGGCACACTTGTTGGGGCAAGGCTGGAGGAGACCTTCTGGAGCAAATCTCTATGACAATTGTTTGAAGCCATTCCGTAGTTGCCAAGCAAAGCCAGCCCATGGATGTCATCTTGCAGGCACCCTGACAGCCTGGCAGAGTGAGCAATAGCCTGAACATCAACTGCTGATATCTTGCCCCAGGCCCATTTGGTCAGCAAGCAATGGGCCAGTGGGGACAAGGACTGGGCCCACCCAATAGCAGCAGCAGCCAAGTCTGCATGTTTCCTCTTTCCCATTGCAACCTGCCAGCAGCTGCCAGAACAATGGAAATGCATAAAACATATGGGGTTTTGCAACTGAAGCATGCACAGGTCCTACCAGTCTGACAAATACATGTATGTCTGTTGTAGTGCTGGTGCAATGCTACAAATGGCTGCAAAGTTGCAACTGCAATCTTGAAAATGGCTGCAAAGCCCACTGAGAGTGGCTGCAAAGCCACTTGAAACTGACTGCAAAGTCAACCCAATGGCTGCAAAGCCACTAGAAAAGCCTCCCAGCATGAGTGAACAGCCACCTACAAATCACCACACTTACAGCCCAGCCAACAAAGAATGACTGCAAGGTCACCTATGGCTGCAAAGCCACCCATGACTGCGAAGCCACCCATGACTGCAAAGCCACCCATGGCTGCAAAGCCACTCATGACTGCAAAGTCATTCATGCCAAATGCAAAGGTGATGAAACATAAGTGCAGCTGTCCAGAAACACATGGCGCACAAAGGCCACCACCAACAGGTGGCTGCAAATTCACCCAGCATGATTGCACAAGGCCACCCAACATGGCAGCATGACTGTCCCAACATGACTGCATAAGCCACCCAGCATTACTGCATCAGGTTTGCAACTGTAGCTCCACTTGGCTGCACAAACTATTCGAGGGCATGGTTATAGCAGGTCTTGTAGAGGTAGGACTTCATGCCACAGCTTTTGCACCACCATGCATTGTGCTTCCTGGGAGCGTCTTGTCCAGCAGCATGTATCTTCTTGAACTCTTTCTCCGTTTTCCAGGCTTCGAACGCCTTTTTCTCTCCATGGTCCATGCCCATCCAGTGCTCAGCCTTAGCCTTCAGCTCCTTCATCTCACTGGCCATCTCATGCTCTGTTGCTAGCAAAGCAGAGGTTTTGGCTGTGGCAGCCTCAGGTCACAGGTTTCTCCACATGTCCACCCTGACCATGTGTTTTTCATGTGCTACCACAATGATTCCAAAGCCAGTCTCCACCACAAACAGTTGCCACTACCCCCCCCCCCCCCCAGCACCCAATAGTTTGTGTGACAAGTGGCTTGCACCTCAGTGGACTCATGCAGCAGCTGGGCTTCCTGATGTGCTCAATTTCACCAACAAGACATGGCAACACCAGCAGCACATGGTAAAGAGCTTGGTGCTGGCATATGTTAATAACATTTTACAAATTTACAGTTAAGTGTCTTTGCTGGCAAGCTCAGCCTTCAGCTCCTCAAGGGCACTGTCATGCTCCAGCTGCAATTGATGCAGCTCCAATTGGTGTTGCTGCTTCTGCTCGTGCAGCATTGCATGGGGCATGGGTGGTGGCATGGCTGGCTGGGGTGGTGGCATGGCTGGCTGCTTGGGCTGAAGGGGCAGCATATTGGAGGGGCCGGGTGCTGGCTGGGGTGGTGGCAGCACATGCTGCCCAAGGCTTGGTGGTGCGGGGGGCTGCATTGGCATTGCCTGTTGCATGTTTGCTGGCTGTGCTTGCTGCTGTTGCTGCTGTTGCTGCTGCCTCTGGTAGTCGCTCATCACGTCAATGACCACATTCCTGATGGAGGACATCTCATCATCTTGCTGAAAAACAGCTGCTGCACTGCCAGCTTGAATCAGCCAATCATGAAAAGGCAGGTTACCTGGGCAAGGCATTGCAGGCTTCACCAAATAAAAATGCAAAACTAACAACCAGGTTTGTAAAACTGCTATAGCTGCAACTGAGGCTCCACCAGTTTGCTGACCAGGTTTTCCAGCACAGAAATTTCTTTGTCTGTCAAGCCCCTCTTGCACTGTTGCCACTTGACAGGGTTTTTCAGGCGCCTCACATGGCTAAGGATCACCACCATCCTTTCATACAGCTCATGGGAGTAGTTCTTCAGCTGCTGCTTTTGGCACAACTCATACTTGATGGCCAAGTTAGCCAAGGTCTTCTCAGTTTCCACCTGTAGCAGCCTTCCTTGTGGGTTCCTGGGTTGTGTGCTGCAAGCAAACCCATTTTCACAGCAACTAGATGCTAGAACCATAAAATGCAATAAACTTGTATCAAGTACTGTAAGGCAGGTGTCACTTCCAAAATGGTCCGCACCAAAGGTTCCAGAGCCACCACAGCCCTCCCCCTCACTGCAAAAGTTGCAGGCATAGACTTGTAGGGGCCAAAGTCGAAACAGTGCTCCACCCCTGTGTGCCTGATGTAGGCCCCCAGTTTGTCTTCAAGGTCTCCTGAGTCATACTTCTTCACAGCACCCTTGATGGTTGCCTTCCTTGAAGCATCCCTGGCAAGCTTGAGGGATCTGCTGGCCATGGCTCACTCACCAGAAGGATGAAACAAAACAGTTGGCAGCACTGCCAAAATATATGCTGCAGCAAACAAACCGCAAGCACACAACCTGATGAGTCCTCAATTTCAATTGTGCAGCATCTGCAAAACCTGTTGGAAGGAACATCGCACAATAGCGTGTCAATCAACAAATTCTGCCTGTCTTGCTCCATGTTTGGTGCCTGTGTGTGCTGCCATTGCATTTGACAATCTGCAATCCTATCCTTAAGCTCAAGCTTGTCTTGCTCTAGCCTTTTTTGCAATCCTGCGTGGACTTTTCAGTCCACCCCTGACCCCGTTGGACTTTGCAGTCCTTCGTTGGACTTTGCAGTCCTTCCTTGGACTTTGCAGTCCTTCCTTGGACTTTGCAGTCCCAAGTATAGGAACCCCAAGAACAAACACAATGCAACTTCTTCATCACATGAAAACATGTAAAAATATCAATATTTAAATATCAATATTTTCTTGGAAATCTTAATATCATTTTTTTCGAGCGAGCAAGATGGGAAAAACCAATATTTGTAAATTACCGAGCGAGGATTGGTTTCCTTTTTGAAAACCGAGCGATATTGGTAAAAACCAATACCCGAGACTTAGGGTCAGTGAATGGCGAGTTGGCACCTGAGAGTATAGCACGCAGCTGATCCTCCTCGCCCTGTGTGACAGGGGTGGCTTGGAGCTCGGACAAAAGATTGGAGACGAGCTGCTTCCTGTCAGCGCCACTGCTGTCTGCAGATCTCTGCAGGAGCTGAGCCATGGAAGCCACCAGTGTCTCGGCCATGGGCGCTTATAAGGCTGTGACGGCGCTATATATATGGAGCCAGCTTGGCTGCGAGAACCTTCCGCGCCTGATTTCACATGACAAAGCGAGTGTTCGCAAGCGGGTTTTTTTTTGACACATGCAACACACCGCGCGCTGCAGGCAGCGCAAACCTGGAAAAAACAAATTCGTAAGTTCCCTGTAAGTTGCTTGTATGTTCCCCCTAAGTTATTTGTATCTCTCCTGGCCCTAACTCCATATATTCCATAACTTGACCATATCTAACTTATAAATGCACCCAACAACATATGGGGAACTTACGAACTTAGAGAACATTTAACCTAAGTTAGACAGCTTATAAGTTATGTTACAAGTTAACATATAAGTTCCGTATCTTAGTCTGGACCTCATGGTAGGGAAAGAAAGAAAGAAAAAAGAAAGAAACCGGAAAGAATGAATGAAAGAAGAGAAAGACAGAAAGAAAGAAAGAAAGAAAGACAGAAAGAAAGAAAGAAAGAAGGAAAAACAGAGAGATGAACACAAGAATGACAGATGGAAAGAAATGAAACCTTGAAATAGAAACTGACGGAATAGTTTGTTAGTTTTTGACACTTCCGCCAACCGGCTTTGCCGGTTCTCTTAAGATATAAGATCGTAGCCAGCCGCTCTTCGCGCAACGGATGCGCCTTTGTTTATTTGCGAAACCACACATCAAGGCAGCGCAAACTTCCCAAACGGCGCTGGACTGCGTGGCTCGCCTGGACTAGGAAGAACTGGCCTGGAAGCTTGGTGAAGGGTTTCGTTAATGTTTGGCAAGTTGGGCATGAAGCCCACGCTTCCAATGTGATTTGGAGCCCTGCCCTGTCCAGGAACCTGAAATCTTCCAGGGCCCCATCTACCGCATTCTCTTGGGCGCTACGCTGCAAAGCTTTCCAGCCATGCCCTCAAGGAAACCCTCTTCAGTGACATGTTGGTCCTGCGCCCAGGTGGATATTCTCTTGGAAGCGCGCCATACCAGGATGCAGACGGAAAAATGGCTGCGCAAGCGTGCAAGGGCAGCGCAATGTTGCACAGCTGGCGTGGCCAGTCGCAGCGATTCCCTAGTCATCCCCGTGATGAAACGCTGGGAGCTATTTGCGGAGTTCTTAATTAAGGTGTGCGTACCTAGTTTTTGCAGGCGTTTGTGGAGCGCGCGGGGTTGCGTGAGTGAATTTTTGTGGTGCCGCCGCCTCCAGTCTGTGTGACTTTTACTGCCCTGATGTCACTTATGTACGGGCCCTACTTCACACCGGATAGAGCCTCATTTGCTCCTGCGTTGGCAGACTCTCCAATCCCATCCCGAAATTCGGAGGCAATCTTGCGTGCGCGAGCGCGAGTGCTTGCACGCGCGCGTGCGCGTGTGCGCGTGTGCGGGTGGTGTGTGTTTGTGTGTGTGGGTGCGGGCGCGTGCGCGTGCGTGTGTCAGTGTGTGTGTGTGTGTGCGTGTGCGTCTGCATAAACCTATTCCTATATATATATATATACACATATTTGTATCTACAGTTGTGCTGCCAGTTCCAGACTGGCGTTCGGTTCCAGCTTGGCAGCTGCCAGCTGCCGGCTTCTTTGCTAAGGGTTTTGCTGGGCCAGCAGCGCAGTTTCTATACATGTTTGCGCTATGGCCAATGGCCAAGGGTGCTTGCGCAATTTGGCCTACGGCTCAGCCATCTTAGATTGTCGAAATATCGGTTTTGACGCAGGTGCTAATTGAACATCGGATATTGTCAGTCGCTTCAAAACATCTGAGCTTCAAACAAATGAGCAGTGTTGGACACAGGGAGTTATTGCCAAGTACCCCCACTGCCCAGCGAATAAGTATGTGTGAAGGTGTTGTGGTCAACATGGTGCTTCAAGTAATTTTGGCGCCTGTCAGCTGTGACACTAATTCTGGGCAAAGGCGGCAGCAGCTTTTCGAAAGCACGGCCCCGCAATTGCCTGGGCTCGGGCAATCTTTGGAAGGCATCATTTTGTTCAACGCCAGGCTGCTGCAGTCCGTTCTCCTGTGAGTAGCAACAGGCAAAGTTACTAAGTTGCAGCAAGAACAGCCAAAGCAGCCGCTGCCAGAGTCAGCAACAAGCGCAGCAGCAGCAACAACAACGACAACGACACCGACAACCACAACAACAACAACAACAACAACAACAGCAACAGCAACAGCAACAGCAACAGCAACAGCAACAGCAACAGCAACAGTAACAGCAACAACAACAAGAACAAGAACAAGAACAAGAACAACAACAACAACGACAATGACAACGACAACGACAACGACAACGGCAACGACACCAACACCAACACCAACAACAACAACCAACAACAACCAACAACCAACAACAACAACAACAGCAAAAACAACAGCAACAGCAACAACAACAACAACACCAATAACAACACCACCACCACCAACACGAACAACAACAACGACGACAACGACAATAACAACAACAACAACAACAACAACAACAACGACAACAGGAACAACAACAACAACAAGGTTGGACGGGGGGGGTTTGCCCGGGAAAACAATGCGAAACGGCCGGGGAGGGTTTGCCCGAAGAACAATGTCACCGATCAAGTCATCAACACTGCGTGGTTCCCAAGACGTGGTGTTTGGCCACCACAACCTCTTTGCACACAGCTGTGAAATTAGAACCAACCCTAAGCAGGCAATGTTTCCGGTCAGGGTCAGGATTGGCGCAAACATCACACTGACACACACGCATTCGTACACACACATTCGTTGCAAAAAACAAGGTTTCCACACCAGTTCACTGGAAACCAAAACATTGGTGGGCTTGGATACAGTTCTGAGCGGGTGCACTTGAACGGGTGCGCTTACCAGTACCAGTTGGTGGGCTTGGATACAGTTCTGAGCGGGTGCGCTTGAACGGGTGTGCTTACCAGTTGGTGGGCTTGGATACAGTTCTGAGCAGGTGCACTTGAACGGGTGTGCTTACCAGTTGGTGGGCTTGGATACAGTTCTGAGCGGGTGCACTTGAACGGGTGTGCTTACCAGTTGGTGGGCTTGGATACATATACAGTGCTGGGCGGGTGCACATGAACGGGTGGGCTTACCTGTGTGAAGGGCCTGGATACAGTTCTGGGGGGGGTTCGCACTTGAATTGGGTGTGCTTACCAGTTGGTTGCGTTGGGACGCGCTTACCAGGTGGTGGGCTTGGATACAGTTTGAGGGGTGCCTTGAACGGGTTTGTGCTCTACCAGTTGGTGGGCTTGGATACAGTTCTGATGCGGGGCACTTGATCGGGTGCGATACCCCGTTTGGTGGGCTTGGGTACTTGTAAACAGTTCTGAGCGGGTGCACTGAACGGGTGTGCTTACTGTGGCTTGTATTACAGTTGACTGGAGCGGGTGCACTTGAACGGGTGTGCTTACCAGTTGGTGGGTTTGGATACAGTTCTGAGCGGGTGCACTTGAACGGGTGTGCTTACCAGTTGGTGGGCTTAGATACAGTTCTGAGCGGGTGCACTTGAACGGGTGTGCTTACCAGTTGGTGGGCTTGGATACAGTTCTGAGCGGGTGCACTTGAACGGGTGTGCTTACCAGTTTGTGGGCTTGGATACAGTTCTGAGCGGGTGCACTTGAACGGGTGTGCTTTCCAGTTGGTGGGCTTGGATACAGTTCTGAGCGGGTGCACTTGAACGGGTGTGCTTACCAGTTGGTGGACTTTGATACAGTTCTAAGCGGGTGCACTTGAACGGGTGCGCTTACCAGTTGGTGGGGTTGGATACAGTTCTGAGCGGGTGCACTTGAACGGGTGTGCTTACCAGTTGGTGGGCTTGGATACAGTTCTGAGCGGTTGCACTTCAACGGGTGTGCTTACCAGTTGGTGGGCTTGGATACAGTTCTGAGCGGGTGCACTTGAACGGGTGTGCTTACCAGTTGGTAGCGGGTGCACTTGAAGGCTTTTGCAAAAAGAACGGCCAGGGGGGGTTTGCCCGTGATTTTCAAGTCGCGCGCGCAATGTTTGTAAAAATGATGCCCGACGTGCGACTAATATCATCCTGCTGACATGAAGATGCAAAACAAAAGCGCAGTCACTATCTGCGAAGAAATGCAAATGCCCAGTGACATGTGTAATATTTGCTGCGTTTTACAGCACGTCGCGCACCCATCTGCCGCGGTATGTGCCAAGGCATCGTGTGTCACAAGGCTGCCAATGCACTGATGACAAGGCAACGAACGCAGGTATAACTTCAACTCTGCCGACAGCCAAATGTCCTGGTAAAAATGGGACGAAGTGGAAGTCACATGTCCGACGTGCTGCGTTTTACAGTATGTTGCGCTGCTGTAATCCCGGGCAAACCCCCCCCGTTGAGCCAACAACAACAACAACGACAACAGCAACAACAACAACAACACCAACAACAGCAACAACAGCAACAACAACAACAAGAACAAGAACAAGAACAAGAACAACAACAACAACGACAACGACAACGACACCGACAAGAACAACAACAACAACACCAACACCAACACCAACACCAACAACACCAACAACACCAACAACAACACCACCACCAACAAGAACAACAAACAACAATAAACAAAAGACAACCAACGACAACCAACAACAACCAACAACAGCCAACAACAACCAACAACAACAACCAACAACAACCAACAACAAACAGCAACAATAACAAACAACAAGCAACAACAAACAACAAACAACAACAAACACAACAAACAACCACAAAGAACACAAACAACAACAAACAGCACAAACAAGACAAACGCCACAAAGAACACAAACAACACAAACAGCACAAACAACACCATCAGCACAAAGAGCACAAACAGCGCAAACAGCACAAACAGCACAAACAGCACAAACAGCGCAAAGAGCACAAGCAGCACAGACAGAACAAACAGCACAAACAGCACAAACAGCACAAACAGCACAAAGAGCACAAACAGCACAAAGAGCACAAACAGCACAGCAGCACAAACAGCACCAACGGCACCAACAGCACAAACGGCACCAACAGCGCAAACAGCACCGGCACAAACGGCACCAACAGCACAAACAGCACAAACAGCACAAACAACACAAACAGCACAAACAGCACACACAGCACAAACAGCACAAACAGCACAAACGGCACAAACGGCACAAACAGCACAATCAGCACAAACAGCACCAACAGCACCAACAGCACCAACAGCACCAACAGCAACAGCAACAGCAACGGCAACGGAAACGGCAACAGCAACAGCAACAGCAACAGGAACAACAGAAGCAACAGAAGCAACGACGTGGTGGTGGTGGTGGTGGTGGTTGCTGTTGGTTGTTGGCGGCTGTTGTTGGTTGTCTTTCGTTTGTTGTTGTTTGCTGTTGTTTGTTGTTGTTGTTGTCGTCGTTGTCGTTGTCGTTGTCGTTGTCGTTGTCGTCGTTGTTGTTGTTCTTGTTGGTGGTGGTGGTGTTGTTATTGGTGTTGTTGTTGTTGCTGTTGCTGTTGCTTTTGCTGTTGTTGTTGTTGTTGTTGTTGTTGTTGTTGTTGTTGTTGTTGTTGTTGGTTGTTGGTTGTTGGTTGTTGGTTGTTGTTGGTTGTTGGTTGGTTGTTGGTTGTTGGTTTTTTGTTGGTTGTTGTTGTTTGTTGTTGGTCGCTGTTGGTTGTTGTTGGTTGTTTTTGTTTGTTGTTGTTTGTTGCTTTTTGTTATTGTTGTCGTTGTCGTTGTCGTCGTTTTTGTTGTTGTTCTTGTTGGTTGTTGTTGGTTGTTGTTGATGGTTGTTGGTGGTTGTTGCTGGTTGTTGTTGGTTGGTTGTTGGTTGTTGGTTGCTGGTTGTTGGTTGTTGGTTGTTGGTTGTTGTTTGTTCTTGTTCTTGTTCTTGTTCTTGATGTTGTTCTTGTTCTTGTTGTTTTTCTTGTTCTTCTTGTTGTTCTTGTTGTTCTTGTTGTTCTTGTTGTTCTTGTTGTTCTTGTTGTTCTTGTTGCTCTTGTTGCTCTTGTTGCTTTTGCTGCTCT